AACCCAAATATCCAGATGTGTGCAGCACATTTTATGGAGGACTGTTTACTGATCCTGGGAGAGTAGACTACAATGCCGGCATTTCTGACTCACAGTCTGCAAGTACGTTTTAATTTAAAGGATTTGCCACTGACGATTCAAACGCGAGTTTTGGGCAGTGTAGAGTAGCACTTGTTGTTTGTCATTTCTCCGATCACAAATGCAGACGGGGTTTTATGTTTACACGGCGCGATGCAACTCAACGCGTAAAAAGACAGTATAAGACATTATAATCAGTAATTATGTCCCCACTGGATGCAACAAATGCCTCGTTTGTAATGGGTTTTCATGTTTTTGTCTCATTGCTCCGGCCAGGACAGGGCATTAACACTATGGTGAGGGGCTTAACATTTCCGTCGCACGCTTGAGGTATTCGGCCAATCACAACGCACTGGATAGCTGGCCAATCACAGCACACCTCGCTTGTCAGACGGGTGAGCTTTGTAAAAATCAACGCGTTTCAAAAAGGCGGGGCATAGAGGAGAAACAATGTACAGTATGTGGAAAATAATGTGTTTTTTTTTTTTTTACTTTAAACCACACAAACACATTTCATTACACCAAATACACAAAATAATGTTCTTTTTAGCAGCATCATATGACCTCTGTAATACAAACAGATCATATTTAAGATGCCATCTATAGAAATGTATTAGTTTATACATTTTCGTTTACATTTACATTTAGTCATTTAGCAGACGCTTTTATCCAAAGTGACTTACAAATGAGGACAATGGAAGCATTCAATTTCAACATATTTAATAAATGTAACGTGTAGAAATGTAGAAGAGCACTTCATTTCCCATTACCTGTGTTGTTTAATTGAATTTTAACTTTCCATCATTTAAATTTACACTCAAGAGGTTTTTTTTTTCTTTCATTGAAACTGATTCATTAGCAAATCTGATTTTAAAATAAAATAATAATAAAAATCATTATCCTGTAATTTATCCTGTAATCACAATCAACTGGAAAGTTCATGGAAATTAATTTGGTGGGAAAGCCTTGTAAATTATTTGACATGCTAAATTCTACTATTAAAATGTGTCAGAAATATTGTAGCCACACTCGGAAACCCCCCACCCCATTTGCAAACACATTTTATTCAGACATGGGTGTTGGGTGTGCCATAGTCTATGGGCCAGACTGGGAATCAGCACTGTCATAAAAGAACTGTGTGACATGCCTCAAACCTCAAACACAGGCTACAGCAAAGCATACTTGTTTACTTGGAGCTCATAAACAACACAGTTTCTTTCAGTCTCAGGAAATTGGACTTGAGAAAGTAGATAAATGCCACTAGCATCATAGCTTGATGAAGCTCTCAGACATCCCATCATGGCATGAGTACAGACAAGGGTCTGTCTGTTTGGGAGCTTGGCCACCTCCTGAAAACTCAGACCTCCTCTGAATGGTGGAACATGTGCAGTGCATGTGGAGCAGTGCTCAGGCCCCTAAGGTTTGTGTGAGTAGGGGGGCAGCGCAGGAGGGAAGCTGTACCATACGGTACTGATCTAGGTGGGATACATTTTGACAGCCACCTCCTTTGAGCACTCTAAACACCCACCTGCTTAAAGGGGTCCTATTATGCTCTTTTACAAAGTCTTGATTTTGTTTTGGGGGTGTACTAGAACATGCTCTCATGCTTGGTGGTTCGAAAAACGTATTATTTTTCACATAATTTACATTATTAAAATACCTTTCTCCCCATCCTGGCACAAACGGCTCGATTAGTTCCGGCTTTGATGAAGGTCCGCCTTCCGAAAAACAAAATGTGATGTGATTGGTTAGCTGTCCCAGTGCGTTGTGATTGGCAAACAGCTTAGACGGTGTTTCAGTACTGCCACGCCCCCTTGCTCCGTCTTTCAACAAAACCTTTTGGCGAATCCGGCACTTCTCTGTGGAATCTGTGGATCTGAAGATCTGTGTGAAGATGGGCAGCGCCCAGCTACGTCGTGTTGTACTTGTAAGAATTGTTCTAGATCAGCGGTTCTCAATTCCAGTCCTCGCGTACCCCCGCTCTGCATGTTTTGCACGTCTCTCTTTGTTAACACACCTGATTCAGATCATCTCGTTAGAAGTGAGCTCCGTGCATGAACTGTGTTCCGATTGACATGGTCCCTACACAGTGTCCATTGCTCCCTACTCCCTGAGCAGGGGAAATCCGTTGAAGTTTACTTCACTTCGGAATATTCATTTACAGATTTGCGCTCCGCTGCTGCCTGCAGTGTCTTCACACACAGACGAAACTTACTAGAGAAGCATGAAGTGGGACATAATATACCTCTGTAAATAAATACAATTTAAATTCACTTCTCGCACACTTAAATGCCCTTTGTATGGAACATATACGCTCCCTTCAAACTGGAATCATGGAGTCACTTCCAATGTCAATGTCCACTTCGCAGGACACTTACAGTCAAATATAACAAACGTATGAAGCAATAAGAGAAACATACAAAATATGCAGAGCGGGGGTACGCGAGGACTGGAAATGAGAACCGCTGTTCTAGACATGCCAAAAATGTGAGGCTGCAGCACTTCTTCGTCGTCGTCTCGTCTGATGCAGTTACTCAACCAAGCGTTCTAACCACGACCTCGCCCCTCCCCACCCCCCAACCATTCGAATTTCTGTAGGTGGGAATTCTTTGTAATGAAATTCTAATGAGCCGCTTGGTAATATCACAAAGCCGGGAAACCAAAGGAGCCGTTTGCTGTAGTTCTTGAAAATTGATTTTTTTTAAACTAAATATCTCCCTTTGGAGTGGACTTTGAGATTTGTAACTTTCTAGATCTTTTTTATGCCCAAACATACACACTACACACTGATTAAAATTAAAAAAGGGAAAAATCATAATAGGACCCCTTTAAGGCTGCATACACTGACACAATCTTAATACTGTGTGTGTGTGTGTGTGTGTGTGTGTGTGTGTGGTTTATGAAGACACAAATTTGAATAATAACATGGGTATGACATCGGTATTACAACAAGGTGATTTATGAGGACATTTTCAGTGTCCCCGTAATTCAAAAGGCTTAAATAATTCAGAATTACTTTTTTTGAAAATTTAAAAATGCAGAATGTTTCCTGTGAGGGTTAGGTTTAGGGGTAGGGTTGGTGTAGGGCAATAGAATATATACGGTCTGTACAGTATAAAAACCATTACGCCTATGGAGAGTCCCCATAAAAACAAACCTGTGTGTGTGTGTGAGAATCAGACCCCAGGCCACTGCAAGCTAATGATTTAGAATGGTTGACTCCTCCAGGGAGATGAGGAAGTGAAGGTCTGCCTCCTGAAATTGGTGCATCAAGGGTGGGGGTCTGTTTAAGCAAATTGTTAATCACACGCAGCTCAAGAGGAGTTAACAATTGCGGAGCAGAACTAAGCCAGAACGCCTTCAGGCACAATGCCATATCGACCTCGAGGAAGCGCTGGACCAGAGCAAACCACAGACAGCAATGTTAAATAGATTCAAATATAGCACAGGAAGCATACTTATTCATGCTTCATTTGTGGTTTTACTCATGCTGACATTGACACATTTAAGATCTTTCATTTTTACAGAATCATTTGTCACTCAATTGATTTTAATTGCATATTTAACATTTTGTCAAATATGTTTTGTATTATATATTATTATAAACCTAAAATGTGTTTAATGTCACTATTGATGAGGATTGTATGATCTTAAATGCAAGATATTTCAAGTATACCTGCAATAGTACCACTTTTGCACAATCAAATATACTTCAGTATATCTTTAGTTGAAAGTTTAGTATATTTATTTTTCACTAGGGTATATATACAGGTGCATCTCAATAAATTAGAATGTCGTGGAAAAGTTCATTTATTTCAGTAATTCAACTCAAATTGTGAAACTCGTCTATTAAATAAATTCAATGCACACAGACTGAAGTAGTTTAAGTCTTTGGTTCTTTTAATTGTGATGATTTTGGCTCACATTTAACAAAAAAATCTCAACAAATTAGAATACTTCATCAGTACAAAAACATTTTTAGTGAATTGTTGACCTTCTGGAAAGTATGTTCATTTACTGTACATGTACTCAATACTTGGTAGGGGCTCCTTTTGCTTTAATTACTGCCTCAATTTGGCGGGGAGCACCATATGGCTTATGAATGATAACAAATCTTAGCACACGTTGCACACTGGGATTAGGTTCATGCAGTGCTTGGGGTGGAATTTTCTCATTTTCTGATAATGCAGGAGTTTGGCGTATGTCACCAAGCTTATGAAACTAACCTGTTTGCTAAATAATTGATAGTTTTAGCATGGTGCATCTGCTTTCACATCCTATAAGCTGTTTATTGAAAAAAAAAGAACAAATTTTTCCCTCAAGTATCCAGCAGGTGAAGGTTTTTACATCTGTTTATTTGTAAGTGCTTCTGGAACATATCTCTTCAATTTCTAAATGTTGTAGCGTCTGCGTAGAATCATGCATGCTCTTTGGGTTTTATGGCTTAAGAGACCCTTTTAGCTTTTGACATTTGCATATAAATTACAGTCCTGGTCACAGACGTTACACTTATATGGGTGCTAAATGTCAAATGGTTCCCCCCCACTATCAAGGAGATGCTAAACAGTTTCACCACTCTCTTTTTCCCTTTGGAGTTCCAAAGAGACGTAAATGACCCCCGGGGCCAGGCACAATGGGCCTGGCTGACCAAGCAAACTAACACACACACAAACACACACACGTAAAGACCTTTTACTCTATTATACTCTACAAATATATCTGGTATATTGCATGTGTTGTTTGTACGTTTCCCTATTAGATTAGCTGAGTTACCACTCGTTATTTGTATTAGTTAAAGCCCTAAACACTGATATTCAGGTGTATGGATGTATCTTTGGTTTAATCGATTCTAAAGGTCTCTTTCTTGATATCAATATTATCTGCTCTTTATTCCTCAAACAATGATGTACTGTCCACATGGAACTTACCCTGTTTCCTCCTGGCATTCCGTGACATGTACAGTATGTGATTGTGAAACGCGTCATACGATTTGTACTATATTTTGGGTTAAAACTGCTGAAATTCCAGACTGGCCATAAAACATGCAAATGGGCCATAAAGGGAAACAAAGGAAACTTCTCCCGCTCAAAAATTCACGCCTGGTATTGGCCAGTCCACACAGAATAGGAACC